TGGCTGTATTGTGCTGCGTGCGTGTATGTATGCACGTGCATGTGTGTGTGTGTGTGCATCTTAAAATCTTGCAGCCCAGGAATCGCTTGTCCCGCTTCTTCACATTGATGGAGACATACCCCAGGTATTTGACACTTAGAGGGTTTAATGTTTGCATGCAAGCAGTTCAAGTTTACACACATACTAGCTTGTTGTTTGTTTGCAAGCCCTTGCTGAGGACTCGGCTTCAAGCCAATTCCCTGTACCATGAGGGCTATTTGTTTCTTCGCTATCACCTCCTGTTGAACCACCAATCTGTTGAGAGCCCTGGCTGAGTGGAATGTATATACGTGTTACTCTCGGGTACTTTGTTCTGAAAATTTGCTCATTATCACCTTCTCAGGATTGGCAAAAACCATTGGATTTTACGCCCTAAAATCCATGTGTCTTGGTGGGCTTTATCTTTGCTGAGTGGGTGATCAAGCTGGGTGTTTGTGCTTGTTGTGCATTCATTCATTTCATTGTAGTTCAGTGGTCTTATCAGCCTGAGAGTTGCCAAGGCATTCTTGCATATCATCCGGTATATCCGGCAAGTGCGTGATTTGAATCAATTAGTTTTATCAAAAAACAGTTGCTGTTTGGCACACTTTGATGTGGTGATGCGCTGCATTGCTTTCTTCAATTTATTTCAGCAATCAACATTTCCACTCCAAGGTGTGAATGCGAGATCTGAACATACATTTTGTGATGAAGATTCTATGGGGTGGCTTCGCCGTCACTTGTTTCAACTTCTTCTGGTGTACTTTAGTTTAAACGACTTGTAGCACTGGTAGACTTCCCTGTTCATGGTAGTGAACATAGCTGCATTCACTTCATGTTACACTGTTTGTGATTTGTGTTGATTCATGATAGCCTATTTAAGAAATCAGGCACAGTACTCCGCGCGCATCCTCTTCACCAACGATCTTGGGCCTTGAAAGTATCTAAAGTACGATTGTGGAGCTTGAAATGGCGAATCGGAAAGTTTCTTGAACCAACAATGTGCATGCGTTCCAGCAATATCGTGCATGCATGTGTGCGTGGGAGATGGAATGGTTTTTGTGGTGAGTTCCTGTCTTGCATTGTTTGGGGTTGTTGCCTAGGCTCAACCGTTGTGCCGCGCAAAGAATTTGAGCTCGCGAAGCTTCAAACAAAGAACCAGAGAAAAAATGGCGAATCTCGCGGAATCATGCGCCATAGAGTTGTTTTAACATGTTTCAACTGGTAGGTATAGGTGGTGGGGCGTGACAGGGCGTGACTATATAACATGTGCGAATGTATATACGTATGCCTAATGTCTATAAAAAGAATAGACCTGGGACTTCCTGGGATAATATATATATATATATATATATGTATGTATATATATATATATATATATATGTATTAAATAATATATATATATATATATCCGCCGACCCCGGCCGACAGCAAGGGGGAGCGCGTCAGGGAAGAGAGGTTGTGGACAACAACAAATACAACAACGGGTCTTGGGAAGCTTTCCAAAGAGCTGGAAATTCGTGTTTTTAAACTAGGGTTTCAGAAGGGACGTTAAGCCTCGTGGATTATCATTGCAGGGCACCATTCCGTCCCTCAGTGCCATGGTGTTTTCCTGTCCAGGAGGTGCATTTTTTTAAGGCAATTTGCTGGCTAAAAGATGTGGCAAGCAGTTGCAGCAGCCGCAGCAGAAGCAGCGCAGCAGCAACAACCAAAGTAGCAGCCGAGCAGCTTACAGCAGGAGCAGGGCAGCAGGAAGGCCATGTGGACAAGTTGCCAAGAGCTGCCAAGAGCTGGAAATTTGTGTTTTTTAACTAGGGTTTCAGAAGGGACGTTAGGCCCTGTGGATTACCATTGCAGGGCACGATTGATGTGTGTTCCCGTCCAGGAGGCTGGTCAGCAGCATCAGCAGCTGCCGAAGCCAGCACACCAAAAGCAGCGGAGCAGCAACAACCGAAGTAGCAGCCGAGCAGCTTACAGCATGAGCAGGGTAGCAGGAAGGCCATGTGGACACAGTTGTCAAGAGCTGCCAAGAGCTGGAAATTTGTGTTTTTTAACTAGGGTTTCAGAAGGGACGTTAAGCCTCGTGGATTATCATTGCAGGGCACCATTCCGTCCCTCAGTGCCATGGTGTTTTCCTGTCCAGGAGGTGCGTTTTTTTAAGGCAATATGTTAGCTAAAAAGCACACCAGCAGGAGGAGGGGCTTGTAGCAGGAGCAGCAGCAGCAGCAGCAGCAGGAAGCAGCGCAGCAGCAACACCCGAAGTAGCAGCCGAGCAGCTTACAGCAGGAGCAGGGCAGCAGGAAGGCCATGTGGACACAGCTGTCAAGAGCTGCCAAGAGCTGGAAATTTGTGTTTTTAACTAGGGTTTCAGAAGGGACGTTAGGCCTCGTGGATTATCATTGCAGGGCACCATTCCGTCCCTCAGTGCCATGGTGTTTTCCTGTCCGGGAGGTGCATTTTTTTAAGGCAATTTGTTGGCTAAAAGATGTGGCAAGCAGTTGCAGCAGCCGCAGCAGAAGCAGCGCAGCAGCAACAACCAAAGTAGCAGGCGAGCAGCTTACAGCAGGAGCAGGGCAGCAGGAAGGCCATGTGGACACAGTTGTCAAGAGCTGCCAAGAGCTGGAAATTTGTGTTTTTTAACTAGGGTTTTAGAAGGGACGTTAGGCCTCGTGGATTATCATTGTAGGGCACCATTCCGTCCCTCAGTGCCATGGTGTTTTCCTGTCCGTGAGGTGCGTTTTTTTAAGGCAATATATATATATATATATATATATGTTAGCTAAAAGCACACGAGCAGGAGGAGGGGCTTGTAGCAGGAGCAGCAGCAGCAGCAGCAGGAAGCAGCGCAGCAGTAACAGCCAAAGTAGCAGCTGCAGCAGCTTACAGCAGGAGTAGGGCAGCAGGAAGGCTATGTTGATACAGTTTTTTCTACGGCTTCAGACGACATGTTAGGCACTTTTTGGGCTGCATTTTGTCGCTGTTCCGTCCTTCACTGCCACTGTGTTTCCCCGTCCAGGAGCCACGTTTTGGGACTCGGCGCAGCAGTAGCAAGAGTAGCAGCAGTAGCAGCAGCAGAGGCAGCAGCAGCCGCAGCAGCAGCAGCAGCAACAACAAAAGTAGCAGCCGAGCAGCTTACAGCAGGAGCAGGGCAGCAGGAAGGCCATGTGGACACAGCTGTCAAGAGCTGCCAAGAGCTGGAAATTTGTGCGCTTTAACTAGGGTTTTAGAAAGGACGTTAGGCCCTGTGGATTACCATTGAAGGGCACGATTGATGTGTGTTCCCGTCCAGGAGGCTGGTCAGCAGCATCAGCAGCTGCCGAAGCCAGCACACCAAAAGCAGCGGAGCAGCAACAACCGAAGTAGCAGCCAAGCAGCTTACAGCATGAGCAGGGTAGCAGGAAGGCCATGTGGACACAGTTGTCAAGAGCTGCCAAGAGCTGGAAATTTGTGTTTTTTAACTAGGGTTTCAGAAGGGACGTTAAGCCTCGTGGATTATCACTGCAGGGCACCATTCCGTCCCTCAGTGCCATGGTGTTTTCCTGTCCAGGAGGTGCGTTTTTTTAAGGCAATATGTTAGCTAAAAAGCACACCAGCAGGAGGAGGGGCTTGTAGCAGGAGCAGCAGCAGCAGCAGCAGGAAGCAGCGCAGCAGCAACACCCGAAGTAGCAGCCGAGCAGCTTACAGCAGGAGCAGGGCAGCAGGAAGGCCATGTGGACAAGTTGCCAAGAGCTGCCAAGAGCTGGAAATTTGTGTTCTTTAACTAGGGTTTCAGAAGGGACGTTAGGCCTCGTGGATTATCATTGCAGGGCACCATTCCGTCCCTCAGTGCCATGGTGTTTTCCTGTCCGGGAGGTGCATTTTTTAAAAGCAATTTGTTGGCTAAAAGATGTGGCAAGCAGTTGCAGCAGCCGCAGCAGAAGCAGCGCAGCAGCAACAGCCAAAGTAGCAGCTGCAGCAGCTTACAGCAGGAGCAGGGCAGCAGGAAGGCCATGTGGACACAGCTGTCAAGAGCTGCCAAGAGCTGGAAATTTGTGTTCTTTAACTAGGGTTTCAGAAGGGACGTTAGGCCTCGTGGATTATCATTGCAGGGCACCATTCCGTCCCTCAGTGCCATGGTGTTTTCCTGTCCGGGAGGTGCGTTTTTTTTAAGGCAATATATATGTTAGCTAAAAGCACACCAGCAGGAGGAGGGGCTTGTAGCAGGAGCAGCAGCAGCAGCAGCAGCAGGAAGCAGCGCAGCAGTAACAGCCAAAGTAGCAGCTGCAGCAGCTTACAGCAGGAGTAGGGCAGCAGGAAGGCTATGTTGATACAGTTTTTTCTACGGCTTCAGACGACATGTTAGGCACTTTTTGGGCTGCATTTTGTCGCTGTTCCGTCCTTCACTGCCACTGTGTTTCCCCGTCCAGGAGCCACGTTTTGGGACTCGGCACAGCAGTAGCAAGAGTAGCAGCAGTAGCAGCAGCAGAGGCAGCAGCAGCCGCAGCAGCAGCACAACAAAAGTAGCAGCCGAGCAGCTTACAGCAGGAGCAGGGCAGCAGGAAGGCCATGTGGACACAGCTGTCAAGAGCTGCCAAGAGCTGGAAATTTGTGTTCTTTAACTAGGGTTTCAGAAGGGACGTTAGGCCTCGTGGATTATCATTGCAGGGCACCATTCCGTCCCTCAGTGCCATGGTGTTTTCCTGTCCGCGAGGTTCGTTTTTACGGCAATTTGTTGGCTGAAAGATGTGGCAAACAGTTGCGGGGTGCAGAGGTGGCAAACAGGTCCAGATTCAAAACCCACTCGCTCTGAAATATCAGCTAGCAAAAATAGGCCCGGGGTCGGCGGCAGGGGCGGCAGCCCTTAGATATATTCTGATACCACCAGTCAAATGAAATCACAAACACTGTGGGAACGTGGCCAGCCTGGGGTCACGGAATGGACAGACCAATGGGTCACCCCACGTCCCATACCCAGGAAATGTGGCATACGACGACGAAGTGACTCGATTCCACAGCAATCCACTGGAGTTCGTCCCTTGAAGTTCATGATGAAGTACCAATGCATCGTGGTATCTGTGGCCAAGGTGAAATCATGCCAAACCATGCCATGTTTGTGACGACCTTGAAATGTTTTTTGGTTGGCAGGCTGGAACCTATATATATATATACATATTATAAATGTATATTATACAAATATATATGAGGGGATGTATAGTTGTATAATTACCGGGGTATGTTACCGGTATGCTATGGTTGGAGTTGAAAGGTATGATTACTTTTTGAGAGGGACTGTACCTTCAAACGTATTATACAGTCAGTCGATATCCAGCCAGAAATTTTGAACAAAACCAAGAATCATCCAAGAATCAGACCTCATTGTGCTAGGTACGTCGGAACCCAACAAGGGGTCGTGCTGGCCATGGTTTCTGGTTTCAGGTCGATTGCAAATGCTCGATTTCAGAAGCAAAGCTCACTTTGAGAACTTTGCAGGCAGGTTCAGGAAACTACAGAGTCAGAAGATACAAATCCACATGAAAGAAACTGACTATTGAAAACAATAAACCAAATCAGAAGACATCGGATGATCCCAGGTTCGTTCAGCCACCTTGAAACCGGCCAGCATATAGTATGTACATGTATTTACTGGTATCTTCACTCAAAGTTTCTCTAATTTCCCCTATCTTTTTAATGAACTATGTGGCTGTGACAATCTGAGTGTAGCTCCATGGGCCCCCAGGAGAGGAACCTCTTTCCACTCATCACCGGATAGATCAAAACTGATCAAAATATTAATATGAATATATACTACAATTTCATGTTTGGAGCACTGTATTACTGGATAGTGAACAGTGAATCACCATTGTTGGTGATATATTACATATATATATATATACATGTCACTAAAAAAATCATTAAATCCCATGATCTTCATATATCTCTATGATTAATGTTTCCTCAAATTTCAACTACACCATCAACATAGTGCAGTGGCCAATATAGCCTGCCATTTGAGTTTAGTCATATTAATACATATTAAATCCCGTACAAGGCGGTGCCCTCCCAGTTATAAGTCGGTTTATAAGATCCATTAACTTATATTTCCCATACACCCACACGTTAACCAAGTTATTTGCCTCAACTTAGCTATGGGGCACCACCGATCCGCCCCGCATCCTGAGCGCCACCGAGCTGCTTGCAGATTCCGGCCACGGTACGCCACAGGGTCTGCAATCGCATGGACGCCCAAATGCAGGTCTCCTGGATGGCCCAGTCTCAGCCAAGTCGTCCCATGGCCGAGATGGCTCCATGAAACATCCCATAAATTGGGCTTTGATCTGGTTTGATATCATGAACATCTACCATAAAATCCTACAATTCCTCCAATAAACCAAAATAAGGCCCTCAACTTACCTATCTCTACAGTTTTGGCCCTTTACCAGCGATAAGTCTGTGAAAGGCACGCTATTTATGGAATGATCACTCCATTTTATGAGCTATAAAAATAACTTAGTCCATACTTATAGTCCAGCTGTTGTAATGCGTGTTATGTCTATATTTATAGTCCAGTTGTCATAACATGTTGTAACCCTCTAATCCATTTATATAACTCGCATTGTAATATAGTCACCTGGACTATAACTCGCCATGGATTAGTATTATAAGTATGTTTATAGTCCATTTATAATCCAGCTGTAAAACTCCATTTCAAGTTGTAATAACCTATCACTATCTCTATGGATACACCACATCCCACCATGCCCACCGTTTCCACCGCAGCACTGTGCTGTGCACCCGCCGCACCTTCCACTGCTGCGGGTTGTAGCGGGACCAGTTGCGAATGCCGCCGGGCACGGACCAGTTCTGCGCTAAGTTCTTGAATTCGTCCATCTGCGGCGGTTAAGAAGTGGTTCATATAAGCCTAGATAGTAAATCCCCGATTCGTGGGGGAAATGCCATATAACTGGGCTATACCTATTAACCATGACTAATGATATCTGGTTGAATATATGGGGAATGTAATGGGAATATATGGGGAATATCATGGGAATATAACTTAACCAACATAATATGGGATTTTACCCGGCTGAAACACAATAATTAATGGACATGAAAACAGCTAGTATCATACAGGCCATGTGGGGATGATTGCCCGAATCCTAACTCGCAGTCCAGTGACGTCACGACGTGAGGTCCTTATAACTTATCCAGAAAGTATGGACATGCATGTAAGACCATCTCAGCGGTTATTGAAACTTGAGAAAACATATGGAAAATATAGAACGTGAGCAACTGATTGGCCAGTTGTTGTGAGGCCACTGAGTCACTGGAAACCATAAGGGACATATAACTCAGATAAATATGACCAAATAATATGATATGTTTCTGTGAAATCCCATTCTCTTTTTTGGGAGATGACCATGTTGATCCATGGCAACTGGGAATATCAGGCCAAAATATGTGCATGCGTCTAAAAAGAACGGTAACATTGAAAGTGTACTCCCAAAAATGTCAAGTTGAGTGGATAGAATTATAGAATCATATTTTTTTCGGGGGGAAAACCAATTATCAAAGACATATGCATCATATGCATATTACAGGTTGAATGCCGATACTTCTGAATTAGATTGGTTGGTAATTTTGGATCTTGAACATCTTTAGACATATTAGTCTACTTGAATCATCCCAGTCATAGCTCCAGGAATCTCCAGGATTTCTATTTTCATTTGTAAAATCGGAGACAAAATCTCCATGTATGGTATATTTACATACATTTGGGCCATTGATGGGGCAGATGGTGGTAAATATTGCATACATGGAGCATATGGGATACCCTCTGGTAAACGTTTACATAACTATGGAAAATCACCATTTTTAACGGTAAAACTCACTATTTCTATGGCCATTTTCAATAGCAAACTGTTAGTCATTACCAGAGGGTAGCTCGTCCAGGGCGTCCAAGCCACGTATTTGATGCGGAGATAATCCATGAGGTGTCCCAAGTCTCTGGACTCCCCCGACTCCTTGCTGATGGCTCGCTGGAGGACCATCCCAGTCATACTTACTATGGGTATAATGGCATTAATATAATGATATATATATATAATTATATAAATAACTGTGGTATATAATTATAATGGGTATATCATATACATATTAATTATATTATATATATATGTGTATAACTATTTCATGGGATTTTACTGGAATAAGCATGGGATATGTTTTTTTGGATTTCAATGGGTAAACTCTATGGGATTAGATGAGATTAGAATGGAAGAATCATGGAATAGTACTTGGATAGATGACCAAATGACCCCACGGCCTGTAACTGGTTAGTAATGTGGGCTGGTTTAACCTAGTTGTAAGATGTTGCAACACGTTAGAAGTGAGATAATTTTGGGGACTTCCTGACCAGGCTTACTAACCAGTTTCTAAATGGAACGAGGCTCCGCTAGACACAAACTCGTCTTTCATCAGCTGGGTAGACATGTGTATAATGTGTACTATCCTCTCATTTGTTTAAAACTAAACATATGTTTAAAACTAAACATATCTAAACCATTAAAGGACTTGGCTTTGTCCAAACATAAGGAAGACCAACTCATGGGAACAATTATCATTGACTAGTGTATTTATGATTTAGGGGGTTCCAAGCATCTTCAAATAATCCAACTTTTCGCCAGTCTTAAGTGGGTATTGGATTTGTTTGCTGGATATACTATACCCACCTGAAAATGGCAGAGCAAAAAACAAACCATTGGTTCAGGTCCATGATTTTGCTTGATAGTAATGTGTAGATTGTGTAGCAAACATAAGCTCATGACAAACAAGTTTTAACGCCATCATGACTGACAGGCTGACAGGTTATCAGAGTTTATCATGTATATATATACAGTAATATATCTACTTGTATCAAACTACCATCCATTGAAACTAAGTTATTGACGTTGACGGATTTACGGTCAATCCAATAACAACCTATCCATACAATTCCATACATATCCCCACATTCACCAGGCATACCAGCAATCAAACGTTGCCTCGCTGTACAAATCCTCCGGCTGAAGCAGGATGGGTTCCTCAGGGCAGGCGAATGACATCCAAACGTGGCTGTTATAAAATAGACATCCATAGATGTTTGGTTTGCTTATTATGGATCGAAATAGTTTGAAAAAAAATGTTTGTTCCTTTAGTTGAAGGATGTTGACGGATGTTGATGATTATCATCTATAAATAATCATAAAATAAATAAGTCTTACAATATGAAAATCATCAATTTGGATTGATGGTTCACAGCAACCGATCCCGAGAACGTGATCACTTGAGGAGAAAAAAATACCCTCCGGCAACCATTTAACTTGGCTGGACAGCCACCATTGCTTATATAGGTAAATCATCATTAAATGGGACATGTCCCATAGCTATGTTAAATGAAACCAGAGGGCAATTCCATGTTTTGGCTTTTATTGCCTATCATCCAGCATCTGTAGGCATTCTCCCCCCTTTTCCGCAGCTTTGAGAACTGCAGCTTGAGAAACCCTCCATGCGAGGTGTCTCCTCCATCTTCTGTTGGTTTCTTTTGCTGAAAACCAAGAGAGTAGACTACTTGGGGGTGCAGTTCAAGCTGACATATGTATATATATATATTATGTATATATATATATTATGTATATATATATATATATATATATTATGTATATATATATATATATTATGTGTATATATATATCATATATATAATATATATATATATATCATTTATATATATATATCATTTATATATATCATATATATATATCATATATATATATATATTCATTTATTTATTTATTTATTTTTTTAATTTTGTTTTAATGTATATATATATATTATGTATATTTATATTATGTGTGTATATATATATACATAATATAAATATATATATATACATATTATGTATACATATATAACTAAATATATTATGTGTATATATATATATATGTGTATATATATATGTAATGTATATATATATTATACATTATATAATATAAATAATATATAATATATAATATATAATATAATATAATATAATATAATATATAATATAATATAATATAATATATAATATAATATAATATAATATAATATAATATAATATATATATATACATATATATATACTTTAATATACTTGTAATATACTTATAACATACTTATAATATACTTATAACATACTTATAATATACTTATAATATACTTATCATATAAGCATATATAACATTATGCAGTATTAGAACTGCATTGCTGTCCCCATGCACCGCTGCCTCGAAATGGGGGATCAGAGCGGTGAGGCCCGGCAGATAGGGCGGCCGATAGGGCCGCGGCATGGGCAAACCCAGCCCTGGCCGGGGGCCCTGGGGGCGTCTTTGGGTCGCATAAACCCCAATAAAGAAATTTACTACAGTTATGGCCCGAAATACCAGTTATGTTTGTACTGAACTAACCCCATTGATAGAATGTATAATCCCATTTATAACCGGTTATAACTAATAAATGGCCATAACTGTATAGTGGAATAGATTGATCATTGTTGGGTTCATCACATTATTTACCAAAAAATCTGAAATCATGTGGTTAAACGCAAGAACGCACCTGTATACAATATGTGGGATGGTTGAGAGCACCCACGGAAATGGTGACATTGGGAATTATTAATTATTGGGTTCAACGGTTTTTTGGGAGAAATAATTAGTTTTAACACGTTCCCATTTCATCGTACCAGGAATGAGTTGCATCCCTTGAGACCTGTTGGGGACATCATGTTGATCCACGAATTGAACGTACGAACGAACGAACGTTGTCATGTTCCCCAAATGAGCCATTTGCAACCTGACACTGTAGCATTCTTCATGGTCGTGGTAACCCTGTAAACAAACAGTTCGATGTGGAAAATCAACCATGTGTAGATCATGTTCCGAACGGGGCCATCAGTTTTTCGCTATGTTGGTTTACCCCGGGGGTATCTCCATAACCACTGGAAGGACTGAAGGATGATGATTTCATCACCGATAAAATCGCCCACCACGTGGCTCAACCACATTACAAAAAGCCTCATTCAGAACGAATGTGGGACTCGGAAAGAATAGCAGTGCTGAAGCGCTGACTGGTCTGTAAAAACACCTATAATGTATATATATATATAATATAATAATTTGTGTCTTACATTTTGGTATGGTCCCCCACATACCAAATTATCCAGGGATGGTGATTGTCGCCTCGCGAGAGAGCCAGGAAGCGCCACTGCAGCTCCTTGTTGGCCGGCCACTCCTTGGAGCAGACATAGCGGCCGGAAGATGGGAAACACATGGGAAAAACATGGGAGAAACATGGAGAAACATTGAGAAACACTATGATTACATATGATTACTACATGTTACTACTCGAAAAACATCAAGATCTGTTGTTTTGTTGGGTCTGAACTCTTGACCCATTCGAGAATGTGGTCCTAATATATGTGCAACGGACAATGACTGGAATCTCTGAATTGATCAGAATAGATCTGAGTGTAATGAAAATGTCTGGAAATGTCTCAACAAAATATTCTATTGTCAGGTTTCTGGACCTTCTGCGAGATCTCTCCCGAGTGTTGTAGCTGTGCGGCAACTACCACGAGAGTCCACAACTCAAAGTAGGAACACGATCTACCATGACGAAATAAAATGATACGTAGAAGTAAAATCGCGAAAAAAGAACGACAAGAATAATGGAACGATTGGCCTATTTTCCACTATCCTCAGCTCCTATTGACATCAGGATTTTGTTTCGTTCCTGTGGTACAAGTAGTGATCACTAGATGGTGCCATTCTAACCAGGCAAAGTGGTATACGCAGCTTGCAAGCGGGCCACTCTGGTGTCCGACATGTTGCAGTAATGCTTGCTTGCCTCAAACCCAATCGGCTGGGACAAACAGGGGCCCTGGGACATTCTAAGGTGCATTTGGATTGGTCTGAAAATAGCAGGACCCCTAAAGATCCACTGGTTAATCATAATTTTCCCCATTAATTTGATGAGTTCTTGGAGGGTTATCCCATTTTCATGAACAACTGGATGACCCTAAGATGACTTAAGAAGCCTCTGGTAGTTTGACGTACAGCTATGGAAAGTCACCATGTTTAATAGGCGGTAAATCATCACAACTCAGATAGACTTCCATAGCTATGTTCAATTTTTAGAGGATAACTCACCTCACTGAGCCAAATTATTCCAATTTGCCAGATCTAACTGACTCCTTTTCAAACACTCCCAGCATATCCCCCAACCCCCCCATTTTCCCCCCGGCAGTTCTCGGCCCAAGGGACTCGTTCTAAGCAGTTCTCCTTGTTGAAGAGAACCGGCGGCTCGGGCTCCTCTGGTGGCACCATTTTGTTTGATGGATTTCCCCAGCGAACAAAAAGCCTTCATTTAAAGGGAAATTCCCGGCTAGCCATCTTTGATCACCAGAGAGTACACTATATATATATACATAATAGTCATCTTGGAGAAGATAGAATAATATGACAGAATATGGATATAATTTCCAAGAACCACTCACAAACATGGGTATATTATTGCACATGTGATATTCTATCTACTTCAGGATGATTATATATATATAATATTTACCATAAACAGGGCCCTTGTAAAGTAGGTTACTTGCAGTATATCTACCAATATTAAGTTGAGATACTAAAGTCATGTCTACTAGACACACTAGCTAACCTAACAATGCACCAACTTGTTGTTACAATTTTTATATTGTTGGATGTCGATGTTTGCTGGCACCATCCGGCAATAGCTCACATCATCTGGCAACACATTGCAACAAGACACATCCAAAACACTAGTGTCATCACATGCCACCATATTTCATCATAGGGTGGTGGATGGTGGATGGTGGTGGGCTCATGTGGGCTCATGATTCTGCAAAGTGCTGCAGCAGTGTGATGCACTAATTATGCAGCCATTTGTTTTGCCTTGTCTTGCTTTACAACTCATTGCAAATAGTTAGTTTGCCTCGTAATGCCTCAGAATATCTCAGACGTCCACCATGCCATCCAGGGGGTTGCTGTTTCATCTTCTGTGCAAACAACAACAACAACAACAACAACCACCAACAACAACAACAACAACGGATCATACACCCTTCAACTCTTTTCTGTTCGCATCACTCATGTCCTCCGAAAAGAGGTAATCATAGGAAAGCTCCCCCGAGTCACGTACGTTGATCTTCTGCTCCTTTGTCCTGAGAGGTTGGAAATGGTGGGTCATCAGCTCAGAACGATGATTATTTTTTTCACCCAACCGGAAAGTATCTACAGTTATGGCCCGAAATACCAGTTATAAGTACTGAACTAACCCCATTTATAGAATGTAGAATCCCATTTACAACCAGTTATAACTAATAAATGGCCATAACTGTAAACTATGGCCAGTTTGGCAATTTACTACCATGTTCCATGGTCATGGGTTTTTTTGCAGATTGACTTTTGGACTTTTGGACCACTGAGTTCCTGTTTACACCTGTTGAAACCTGGGGAACGGAACGGACAACTCCTACTATCACGAGTTGATCGCTGAAATGTCCCTGACTTGTTGTTTGCCCATATTTTTCACTGGTTGGTGGTATACCTACCCCTCTGAAAAATATGGGCAAGTCGAGTCAGTTGGGATGATGATTATTGCCAATGGAAAGTAATAAAATTCCATGGTTCCAGTCACCACCAACCAGTAGTTGTTAATAGTGGTTAATAATGGTTAATAGTGACTAATGATTATCCATTGATTATCCATTGATGGTTCATTTATAGCAAAAAAAACAAACCAAAACAACTCTCCGAATCCAAGGCTCATATGCTGAATGACCAAGTTCCACGTCTTTGCAAAGGACCGCTTGGCCTCCGGCGAATATCTCCTGGGGCCCGGCGATCTGCTTGCCCTACTTTTCGGCATCCTGTGGGGGATCGGATCGTTGTAAATGATGGTTCAATCCCTATGTTTGATGGTGAAAAATGTTATATCTAATATCTAATCTAATCCCTATAGTTAGATCCCATCTATATGTTCTTATAGTATCTTATAATAGTTTCTTGTTGAAAATCATGTTGGATCAACCCACCACTACCGTGCTTGAAGCCCCCGTGCCAAGTGATCTTGTGTGGCCTCACAGAACTACCATTCAGCACCCCTGAAACATGTTCATGTCATGTTTAAGTGGTATATCGTTCATTGAGATCGCGAAAAAAAAAAAACGTAACGGAAAGAGAACAACTTTGCCAACCGTTCACCCAGCTTCACCAAGTAAAACCCAATCGTTGATGGTTAAGATCCCATTTTGGATAATCCCATAATCGTTTTGCCATGGTATACATATTATATATACATATATAGTTTTCGGCCCAGTTCTTTCCAGAGAGTGAAACCGAGCGTCAGCAAAAGACTGGGAGATCGTACCTCACAACATGGATTTGCGCGTTTCTGAGCTGCAACCTGGTTCCATCTTTTCGATTGTGGCATGGGTGGAGAACACTGAGCAGGGCATGCTGCTTTGCACTGGAGTTTCCCCGCACCAGGTCTTCAGTGTCTCTGGTGCGAATGGAGTTTCTGAGGGTTTGCATACCTTGTATGATGTCGTCAAGGCTGAAGGCAATTGTTGTTCAGTGGGAGAGGGCACTGAGATTCATGCACACCCTCCAAAGGATCCATTTGCGACCATCACTTTGTTGGACTTTTGTAGTGGCATGGGTGGCTTTTCCATAGGATCTAGCATTCTTGGAATCCAAACGGCTGCCTTTGTTGAAAGATCACCATTGGCATGTGATGCATTGCGATCCAATTTTCGCAGTCCAGTACTCCAGGCTGACCTGGGGGATATTAATACCCTCAAGAGAATCCACCCTCTTAAGGGCACAGGCCATGTTCAGGCAACAGGAGGATTCCCATGTCAAGGATTCTCTAGACAGGGTGATCAGTATGGTATGGATGACCACCGAAGTCATAGCCTGTACTACATCTTGCAGAGTTCATGGCTGCTCCAAGTGGACGAGATCTTGCTGGAGTGTGTTGCCAATGTGGTGAATTTTCCATCAGCGCTGCAATGCATTGACGACTTTGCAGCTCTCGCCAACATGAAGGTGATGAAACTCAACTTTGACCTTCAGGACCAATGGCCAGTTAGGCGCAACAGATTCTGGTGTAGACTCTCTCACAAGGATTTGCCGCACATTGACATTCCACGTTGGCCAGTGACTCATGATTTCCAAACACTTGGAGATATTATGCCACTTGATGCCATGTGGGATGAACTGGTTGAAAAGCAATTAGAATGGGATCCAAGTGAGTTGGCTTTGTATTTGGATCCAAGTTTTGGCACTGACGAAAGGCTTCTTTGTGCGCAGAGCAAGGCTCCAACAGTTTTGCATTCATGGGGCCATGTGAATAGACCATGTCCTTGCGGCTGTAGGGCAGCATTCAACTTGGCTCGACTTCGCAGTGGAGGAGCACGTGGATTTGGCCTTCTCTCCGCCAGAAGTAGTCGCTATCGGCATTTGCATTCTGAGGAGGGGGCCATGTTGTGCACAGTGCCACCATCTTTCCATTTTCCTATGCCTTGCAAGTTCTTTGGGTCACCACTGGGGATGGACGGACTTGGAACCTCTCCAGGCTATCAAAATCTTGCAGAATGCATTGCGCACCTACTCATTCACCAGATGGATCACTCCCAAGATGTATCAACCACGAGACATTCAACTGCAGTTGGTCAAGGAGGAGGTCACTCATGTGATTCAGATCAACGAGCCTACCACAGTTGGGCAATTGATCCAGGCCGAGAATGCTCTTTGTGGATGGGGCCACTACGTGATCATCACATGTCAGGGCTACCGAATGCATCCAGAGGTTCAACTCCTACCAGGGGTGACATATGAGATCAAGATCTGTGTCAGCAGACAGGTGAAGCCATGTCCCTTTCCAACACCGCTCTTGGGAGGTGGATCAGCACAAAGACACCTTCAATTGGGAGACCGGTTGCTTTGGGACTTCATGCGGGAGATCTCATGTGCTCGTGATGCAGAAGAATTCCCTCAAGAACCATTCCTGCTGCCGCCCTTCCAGATCACCCACTTTCTCAGGCTGGATTTGCCGTCTGCAGTGCAGCAGACCTGGATCCAACGCAGCTCCTGTGGATATGGGCCTATCTTCATGATCTGTGAACTTCACGGTCATTGGATTCTTCTACATGGACTCTGGAATTGCCAGCATGATGGACTTCATTGGACCCTTTACGATGGACTTCGAATGGGTCAAAGCTGGCCATGGGCATATCACACAGCCCAGAAAATGTCCAAGACATTGCAAGTTGGATTTTCAGGGATGACTCCTGGTGTTGGACTTTGCCAGCGTCATGCCTTTACTTGCGGCTCCATTGCCCTGATCCACATGGCTCAGTTGCTTCATCTGATACATGACGTTTCTGATGACCAGCTCCAAAACATTCACTTTTGGCTGCTTGAGCGACAGCAATGGCACCCAAGTGATCTCTTTGCCGGAGGTGCCGAGAACACTCAGCAACAACTGGCCAAGCTGCTGTCAGAGAAGGGCGTCCCCTTAGCGGCATCTTCAGATAGGGCCAAGATGATCACCGGCAGACTTGGACTTAAACAAGTCCAAGCAATTCTGCAAGCTCGAAATCCCTGGTCTGACCTCAAGTCAGCGGCCAGCAAGCCAGGGTCAATGTTTCGCTTGGTCACACAAGACGAACAGAAGCTTTACATTGCCGAGCGTGCCAAGACCAAACACGGCGCCAAGATTGCCAATCACAAAGCCAAGAAGCAACACAAAGGAGCTCACCCGAGCCAACCAGTCTGTCTTGAACCATCTCAGTTTGACTTGGATGCCCATCACTTCAAGGATGGTGATGATCTGCCTGTTCCGCAGATCCGCTACGAAGAGGTGGAATCTGAAGCTCGAGGAGTAGCCCTATGCACAACAGAGATGGCGCGTCATTTTCTGGACAAACCTGACACCATCAGCACAGACGCCTTGGCACTGCTGCTTCTGGACAAGCCTGATGATGAGGCTGTTCAAAAGGCACAACTTCAGCCTATCATCATCCCAGCCAGATTCAAAGGCACAGATGAGCACACTTTGATCTACGGCCACATCCTTCAGCTGGGAGACAATCATGTCTTACGAGAACTTGCCAGCCAAGACTCCAACCCAGACTTGGTCGAGACCCAGGTGGTGAAGTTTCAGGTCTTTCGAGACCAACTCAATGGAGATTGGACGTCATTTGCTCAGGCCCCCATTCGGGCATTGGTGTCTATGATGGACTCTCTACAACTTTGCAAGGGCTCCAAATGCGGTGCAGCATGTGGCAAATATCATCCTGGGCTTGATGAGACGGTGGAGAATGTCATCTTTGAGATTTGGGCCAGGAGTTTCTTCGACGCCAATGGCCGTAAATCTCCACAAGACCAAGCCAGCCTTTTCACTGTCTTCTTGCGTATTCCTGAAGGTGCCCTGGGCAAGTTACTCACCAACACCCCGGTTGGAGTGTATGCAGAGCCAAGAGGGTCAAAACCTCGAGAGCAAGATGATCGATATCGAGTCGTATGGCTTCCTGGCGTCTCTGCGGAAGAAGCTGCACATCAATGCCGAACCTATGATCGGGCGATCTGTTTGACAAGACTCCGATTTAAATACGGCATCCGAGTCAAGAAGGAAGATGAACAGGCTGCTTGGTCCCATTTGCGACCGGGCACAGATTTTGTGGCCATGAACTTGCAGCACATCTACGAGCTTTTTCCAGTCCCACATGGAACTCAACGGCATGCCATTGTGAAGCTTCTTTCTGACTGGAAGTGGACTGCCAGACCTTTGCAGCCAGGACGAGGCAATTACCATCACATGTCTTGGCGTGTTGGTTCTCAGGATCCTCCACCCCTACCAGTCATGACAGGTTTCCAGAATGACATAGTCATCACACAGGTGAAGGAATTGAAACAGCCTGAGCATGAACAAACTTTCATTGCTTCTACGAAGACACAGAGACAGATCCGTGCGGCACCGGCACAACCAGTGACTCCACCTGCAATTGCAGACCCATGGCTGGAGAGAAAAGAAGATCCTTGGGCAAGATATGGCACCAAGTCGACACCTTCCTCATCGGCTGATGGCAAATCCAAACTGACTGCCATTCAAGAACAACTGCGGTCTGACATCAGCAATGACATGGCACAAAGTATGCAGACTCAAGCCAAAGAAGCAGTACAAGCGGCAGCAGCATCATTGCAGAGCGGTGCTGGACAACAAGAAACCCGCATCAAAGCACTTGAAGTGGGTCTCAATGAATTGAAAGGCCAAAATGCCCAATTCAGCACATGGTTCCAGCAGGCCGGTGAGAGATTGCAGGCTACAGAATCTACGATGGGTGCAATGCAGCAAACGCTCAACACTCATCAGAACGAGCTCCATGTCTTGGGAAGCACATTCCAATCCACCATGAAGACAGTCAAAGATGATCTGTCCTCAGAGATGAATGACTCCTTCAACAAGCAGCTCAGCCGCCTTGAGGCGCTGCTTGAGAAGAAGCAGCGTCAAGCTTGACTAGCGCAAACCGGTTCCGAGAATGGATCGACTCGGAAGCCGGGAGGTACAACAAGATCCACTCTCAGTTTTGGATGGATGCTCATGATGTTGATGGTGTTCATTACACCATCCATGGCTCTGCAGCAGCAGCACTCCTTTGCCCGGTTCTTCATCGACAGCTCGGCAGCTTTTGCTGACCGAGGTTTGGGGTCGGGGAGTTGCGGCTGCCGTGTTCCGGAGTCAAACCATTGGTCTTTTATCGGTCATGCCCCATCTTTTGTGTCTTCTTTGACGTTTGAAAAGTCAGTTGGTGGTACAATTAGATAT